AAGATAATATTTACAAGTCAGGACAATATTTAGAAAGTAGATTTTATTAGAAAGGAGGATGACAAAATAATTAATCTCATATCATAAAAGTAAGGAGAAGTCCTTGAGTTTAAAAATATTAACGTTTTATATTTTATCATACAGTTTTTACGAAAATAATAATAATGATTGTGTCAGAAATGATAATGATTTAACGAATTAGATTTTTTTATTAGTCTAAAGTGAATTTAAGATAATATATATATATTCAAAGACTATCAATTATTTAACATTAAATATTTATATTCTTATATATATAGATGTTTGAATTTAAAACCTCAAATAATAATAATGTTTTTTTAATAAATTGGATTAATTGATGAAAATATCAAATTTCACAAAGTGATTAATCTCATATCACAAAAAAAGACATTGAATTTAATAATAGTAACATTGTATTTTTTAATAGTCTAAAATGATTATAAGGTGACATCTATTTAGAATCTTTTTTAGTCAATAACAACGAAAGCGCGCGCGCGCACACACACACACATATATATATATAAACAAAAGCTACTTAAACTCATAATTTATAGGGAAAACAACTCTCTTTTAAGTACTGAAATCACTTGATGAATTCAATAACATTATAGATCTAATATTTTATGAGATAATTTTAGTAACAAATAATAATTTGTGAAAAAATGATATACATTAGATTGTATGTTGAAAATATCGCATCTCACATTCTAAAAGGAAAAAGGATAATGATACAATTATCTTAATCGTTTGTACAAATAATCACTTTGTTCTCTATTCTTTTCTTGGATCATTTTAATTACTTAATAATTCAAATTTTAGTCAAAATAGACTCTATTCGATAAAAAAGTCAATTGACTAACTGTTAACACATATTACTGACATAACATTTTTATATGTCATCAATTGATTATGTAACATGTGCACGTCATCCAAAATGATGACGTGACATGAGACACATCACCCAAAATGATAATGTGACATGTGTCATATAATTCAAAATGGTAACGTGATACACTTAAAATGATGATATAACACATGTTATATTAACAATTGAATATATGTAAAAATGTCACGTCAGTGTTGAAAATTAATCAATTAAAGAGTTCCACCTAACCTGAGTTGTTTTGAAAAAAAAAATGAACGTTAGAAGATACAATGACAAAAAAGAGAATAAGAGGTAAAGTGATCATTTGTACAAATATTGAAGGGTAAAGTGATCATTATGCCAAGAAAAAAATACATCAGAACAAACTTTAGGATTAATACACTTTTAGATGCTTAAATTATATCTCAAATTGATTTTTGGTCCCTAAAGAATTTTTTGTTAAAAATATGTGATTAATATTTTCTCTGTTCTACTTTTAGGTGTTTATTGTTAAAAAATGTTAAGTGACACTGCCCAATTTTTTTAAAAAAAAGTTTTTAAATAATATTTTATTTAAAAAAATATATATAAATAAACAAGTGTCACTTAACAGTTATTTTTAACAGTGACAGAAAAAAAAATTAAACATATATTTTTAACGAAAAATTCTTTAGGCACCAAAAATTAATTTGAGATATAGTTTAGATACTAAAAGTGCAATAAGCCTAAACTTTATAATCAAGTTGAAAATCAAGCTCTTCGTTTCAAAATTCTAGATTGGTTAATACAAAAATAAGTGTCTAAATTTTGTCTCGAAAAATATTTTAGTAGTTAAAGAATTTTTCGCTAAAATTAGGTGCTTAAAGTTTTCATCGGAGTACTTTTAGGTGCATGGACCGCAACGCCGTTAAATTTGTCCTTAAGTAACACGTGTCAAATTCTGATAATTTTGAGAATTTATTTAATTTTTTTTAAAAATAAATTAAAAAAGAAAAACCCAATAGCCAACCCGCTTGCAGCAACCCCCTTCTTTTTTTCCCTTTCCATGGTAGTCGGGCAGCAAGCTGTGACCATCACCGTCACCATCATTAGCACCGATGTCGACCCCCGATCAAACTCCCATTAACCTTTCATCGTAAGCTGCCACAATTTTCCGTGGAGAAGCGTTCAAAGTTTCGTCGGATTTTAAGTCATTGTCGTTGTTTTTCGTCGATTACGATCGATCCCGACATCCATAAGCCACACCGCCGCCGTCATTTGCACCATCGTGTAATTCCGCTCAAAACCTTTCCTTGTTGCCGCTTCCTCGGTGCTCCTCCAGCGTTCCATCTTGGAGATTAAGATTTTAAAGGTTAGGGATTTAGGTATTGGAGATTTTAGAGAGTTAAGGGATTTGGGCAATGGAAGGGCAAAGATTGAACAATGGGTGGTCGAAAATCGGTGGGTGACCGTTCGGTGATGACGATGATGGTCAGAGATGAACGATGATGATTGGTAATAGGGTTGAAATGAGAGATTTTAGTTTTATAGAGTTTTTTTATAATTTTAGTAAAGATTTTGGGGTTTTTATAAATAAATTAAGTTTATTTAGTTTTCTTGATTTTTTTAATTAAAAATATATTTTTATTATTAAAAAAATTAAAAAATTAAAAAATATAACGGTAGGCACTTGTAAGTGTAATTGAGAAAACGTTAGACACCAATTTTAGTCTAAAAATTTCTTTTAGATACCAAAACGTTTTTTGAGACAAAGTTTAGGGACTTATTTTTGTATTAAGCCTTCTAGATTTGATCCTTCCATGCAATGACGATGAAAAAGCCGCGATCTTTTCCCCTGCAGTCTTCGCTTTCAGTCGTCTCTTTCGTACTTATAACTCTCGAAAGTCCGATCCCTCTAAGTTACTCGTCGATGTCGGATCTATTTCTATTTGAAACCATATCGAAAACCGATTGCAAAAAATCTAGTTTCATTTTACACGAATGGATACCCGTTTCAAATCTCGGTTTTGCATTTTGTTCTTATCACTTGTTCATTGATTTGTGGGTTCACTTTTATTGGACCTCAAAAATCGAAGACCGAAGAACGTTCAAGTCCTCTTTCTTCTTATTACTTCAATTTTTGCCTTAGCATGATTATTTCTATTCGTGTTCGTGTTGTTATTTGATTATTTGTTTGTATTAATGTTATGCTCATGATACTTTCGTGGGCTGGGCGGGGGGGGGAGAAAAAGAAACCATCTCATAATACTACATGTAGTTGCATTGTAACTTTTCCTAGTAGATATGAGATCATTTCTTTCTCAACAATTCAATACTAAACACCTTTTAAGAAAATAATAATCGAAACCGCCACATCAAACCACACTCAACGACTATTGAAGCTTTCTGATTACGTCGAAGACGGAAGAATCGAAAAGATTATTGAATCAGTCATCGAATTATCGAGAGACAAAAACAAAATAACATATGACAAGAAGCTTCAAGTGATGAGAATCAAGTTAGCTAGGATGCTAGTTTCACGTTTTGGAAAGATAAAAGGACACTAATCCTATATCAAAAAGGAAAAGGCGGTTTTGGAGTTTATAGGTCACAGTGTTTCACTTCCTATTAGAAGTATCTTTTGAGAAGGGATAATGATCTCGTGATAAGTAAAGCAGTCCTTTAATTATTCAATTTCACACCGAATATTCTATTAGATGAGGTGAACATGACAAACAATCGTGTAACTCATGACATGGGTGTTATAAAATTGAAAGGAAAAATATCACAAAATCTCACACAAAAATGAAAAAAATTAGAGAGAATGGAATTTATAAATAGGATTATAAATTTTATATTATTAAGAATATATATTAAATTATTTATATTTAAAATATCAATAAAAATCACTTGTACTTTGATTATAAACTTACATTAGAGAGAAATTATTTTATGGTCTCGGTTCACTACGTCATCCATTATCTAAGTAAATCACATCCATCGATTTTAAAATAATTTATAAATAACTACGTACTCTTTATTTACATTACGAAAGAGGTAAAGATTTATTATTGGTTGGAACCATAGATGATATGGTGAGTCAGGTCTATCTAATAATTTTTTCAAATAAGGGGTCTAATACATGATCATTAAACTAAATTATAAAGTTAAGAGGACTAAAATTGGTATTAAATCTTTTTAATAAGGACAACTTGAGACCTACATTTTAACAAATTCTACCACAGAGTCTAATGTCACACAACCGATCTACATTTTAATAAGGTTCATTCTTGTAATTTATCTAAAATTACAAATAAGACAACACGCACACTATCTCCCTCAAATCTTCAACGAAGATACAAAAGAACAAGAAAAAAGGAGAGATAACTCATAGACGTTGACATTCGAAATCGGCCTCCGGACCTCCAGATCCGACCGTCTTCGGCCATGTCGTTCACCGTCTGATCCTCCTCTCTTCTTGCCTTCCTTCTCTTCTTCTTCCTCTCTCCTGGGTCCGCTTCCGAGTCAGATCACAAGGTAATCTATCCGTTTTTTCCTTCTCGGTTTCTTTCCTTTGTTAAGTTTCGGATTTGATTTGTGCAAATTTTTTATTTACCTGTCAAATTCGTTATACTAAAAGAAGAAGAAGAAAAATTGTTATTATCTTGCAAGTAGCAGGTGTAAGATATGGATCTCTGATGAATATATTCTTTCTTAATTGAACGGTTTAAATCTGTGATGAATTGCTCGCAAGAATAAGAAAGGATTAAGAAGATAGAGAGAATAGAATGAAGAAAACAGAATTCATAATATTTTCATTGATAATTTCATCTGATTACAACTGAATTTTTTATAGGAATTGTTTCGTAACAGAATGCCAGCTGTATCATTTCTTTAACAACCTATATTCCTTTAACCGTTTCTGTCTTCATTGGTTGAATGTAGGTTATTGGGCTTGCTATCTCCTGGTCCACTAACGCCTGGTCTCCTGCTTCAGTCTTCAGCAACCCACGCTCGATCCTTTGCCCATCAGGTAACATCTCTACCTTATCCATATGCCCATCATCTAAATTTCCAATTATAATCCCTAATTTCCCTGCATTTCCCCCTTTATCCTCAGCAGCCTCTAATTTCTCCTCTTGATTCATGACAATACCCCCAACTGCAGTCGATGCTTGTCCCCAAGAATCGAAATCAGGAAATTGGGAATGAAGTACTGTAAAATCCTCCCATGTAGCATTCTCAATCCCTAAATTCGACCACTGAATTAGCAATTGAGTTACTGCTTGGTTGTTTCGTTTAATAACTCGTTTATCCAAAACAATTGCAGGATAAACCTGAAGCTGACCATCAACAGTGAGTTCAGGTAGTTCTCGTGAAGCCACATTCGTATCCCCAATTTTTCTTTTCAAAAGGCTTATATGAAACACCGGATGAAGTTTAGAATGGACTGGTAAATCCAATTGGTATGCAACTAAACCGATTCATTTCTTAATTTTGTAGGGACTATAGAATCGAGAAGACAACTTCAAATTTCTGCGCAAAGCCAATGAAGTTTGTTTGTAAGGCTGAAGCTTAAGGTAAACTTCCTCCCCTTCCTTAAATTCCCTGTCACTACGATGTCTATCTGCATATTGTTTCATGCGATGCTGTGCTTTAGTGAGTTGATGATATTATCCCTTTCCTGCATAAACTGTTGTACATCCGCCACCCTTGTCTCCCGTGCCCAAGTCATTGTTGGAGGTGTATAGCCATATAAGGCATGAAAAGGTGTAGTGCCAATCGCAGTATGAAAACTAGTGTTGTACCACCATTCTGCGCGAGACAACCATTTAGCCCAGGAACTTGGTTTTAAAAAACAAAGTCCTCTTAGATACTGCTCAAGACATTGGTTAAGCCTCTCGGTTTGACCATCTGTTTGAGGGTGATAGGCAGTAGTAAATAGTGTTGTAGTGCCCAATAACTTCAAAAATTCCTTCCAGAAAGCACTAGTAAAAATTCTGTCTCTATCAGAAAGAGCAACTTTAGGTTGACCATGAAGTTTATAGACTTGGTCCAAGTAAATTTTAGCAACCTCAGAAGCTGTAAAAGGATGAACCAGAGGCAAAAAGTGCCCATATTTGGTGAATTTGTCAATTATCACCAAAATAGAATTATATCTATTAGAAGAAGGCAAGCCTTCAATGAAGTCCATAGTAATAAACTCCCAAGCTTGTTGTGGAATAGGTAAAGGTTGTAGTAACCCAGGCTGTAAAACATGTTCATGTTTGATTCTCTGACATACATCACATTGTTGAACATACTATTTTACCAATGCCTTCATTCCCTTCCAATAAAAATACAATTTCAGTCTATAATAAGTAGCTTGTATCCCAGAATGACCACCTTGTGGTGAATCATGAAGTATAGAAATGATCTGCTTTCTTAAGCCAACTGTATCACCCACATAAATTCTACCTTTGTATCTCAGAACCCCTTTAGTATAAGACCAATCTGCTATAGAATGATTATCAAGTAGCAATTTAGGAATGACATCCTTTGCTAAAGAATCCTGCTCATAATTGATTTCAACCTCTTGCACCCAAGCAGGAATAACAAGTGTAGCAGATGCTTGATTTAATTCTGAAATTTCTTCAAACTGTCTAGATAAAGCATCAACAGCTCTGTTATGTTTGCCTTTTCGAAACTGAATTGAATAATCCAGTCCTAGCAATTTTGTTAGTCCCTTCTTCTGAATTGTAGTACTGATCATCTGTTCTAGCAAATGCTTCAAGGATTCATGATTTGTTTTAATAATAAATGGACTGCCTTCAAGATAATGCCTCCATTTAGAAATAGCCATTAATATTGCTAGATACTCTTTCTCATAGATAGACAAATCCATCTGTTTTGGTCCCAAAGCCTTACTGAGATAAGCAATAGGTCTGCCCTCTTGGGACAGAACTGCCCCTATACCCCTAGAACTGGCATCAGTTTCCAAACAGAATTGCTTTGTGAAATCTGGTAGAGCTAACACAGGAGCAGTACACATAGTCTCCTTAAGTTTGACAAATGCCTCTCTAGCCTCATTTGTCCAAAAAAATTAGTCCTTTTTCAACGTAGAAGTGAGGGGTTTACTGATTTCCCCATAGCCCTTTATAAATTTTCTGTAGTAACCAGTAAGGCCCAAAAACCCTCTTAAAGATTTCAAATTTTTTGGAAAAGACCATTCTTGAATAGCTTTAATTTTTGAGAAATCAGTAGATACTCCCTGTGGAGAAATAGTATGACCAAGGTACTCTACCTCTGATTGGCCAAAGAAACATTTATTTCTCTTAGCAAAAAGCTTATTCTGCCTTAGAATCTCCAATACAATTTTCAATTGCTGTGCATGACTATGTAAATCAGGACTATAGATTAAAATGTCATCAAAGAATACTAGGACAAATTTCCTGAGATAGGCTCCAAATAAATCATTCATAAGAGATTGAAAAGTAGCTGGTGCATTAGTTAAGCCAAAGGGCATTACCTTGAATTCAAAATGACCATGGTGTGTCCTGAAGGCTGTTTTTGGAATGTCTTCAGGCTTGATTCTGATCTGCCAGTATCCAGATCTTAAATCCAACTTAGAAAAAAAATTAGCTCCAGCTAGCTCATCCAAAAGATCATCCACCACAAGAATAGGGAATTTGTTCTTAACAGTTAAAGCATTTAACTGTCTATAATCAATGCACATTCTCCAGCTGCAATCTTTCTTTTTGACTAACAAACAAGGGGAAGCAAAAGGACTTTTGCTAGTTTGAATGATTGATGCTGCCAATATTTCAGCCACTTGCTTCTCAACCTCTTTTTTCTGATGATAAGGCATTCTGTAAGGTCTAACATTAACTGCCTCAATACTTGACTTTAAAATAATAGAATGATCATGCTTCCTTATTGGAGGCATTCCAGTAGGTTCCTCAAATACATCTTTGTAATCAACAATTACTGCTTGAATTGTAGGAGGAATTTCATTATAATCAACCTCTGCATTCAGCATGTAGATCTCCCCTACTACTTCAGGATTTTTATTCATCAGTTTTTGCATTCTATTACCTGAAATTATCTTCATTGCAGTAGTGTGCAAACCTCCCTTCAACACAATTTCTTGGTCACCCATTTTAAAAGTAAGAGTCATGTTGTTAAAATCCATTAATATTGGGCTATATTGCTTCATCCAATCAACTCCTAACACCATATCACTGCCTCCAAGGGTTAAGGAAGTAAAACAATCAAACCATTTACCATTACACAAATATCCAGTAGACCAGAATGAAACAAAAAAATCACAATTTTTTTTTGAAAAGACCAGACTTTGTACGATACCCTCATTTTCTATCCTGGGAGCTACAAATTGCGTTAAAATCACCCCTAAGATCCAAGGAGCATTCATCGAAGCCTATAACGCTTGCAACTGGTCCCAAACATGCCTTCGAACACTACTGATCGGGCTAGCATAAACAAATGACACGAAAAAAAAATTTCCTGCTTCCCACCTCCACACCATACCCATGAATAAACTGGTTCGAGGCCGCAAGAATGTCCAGCAAGACTGTGTCCTTCCACAAAATCCAAATGCCCCCAGAAAAGCCATTTGCTTCCACCCGGAAGGAACAACTAAATCCCGCTTGACGAATGAAATCATCAGCTCTCTGACCACTAACCCTTGGTTCCATAATAGAAACAATGTCTGGTTTTTGGTTTCGAATTAAAAGCTTGAAATAACGTTTAAACATAAGGCCACGGATGCCTTGAGTATTTTTAACCATAATTATACTAAGGAAGAGAAAAAACAAGACATAATCAGACCTTTTTGGCATTCTCGCCACCCCACTCAAATGTCGAATTCTCCCTCCACTGCAGATTTTGGTTCAAATTCTGAATGCCCTCTTTAGCTTCATCTCCCAACTTGACATGTGCATTATTTAATTCATTGGTCATTGACTCAATCCATTCGGCTAATACTGTTTTAGCCAATCCTCTATCTTTTTTGCCTTGTCTTGATCCCTTTTTTCGATATCCCTTTTGTTGTTACCATCGATCGGGACAAGCCTTTCGAACTTGAACCATTAGATGTTCCAACAGGAAGTCGTCTATTATTATCCCGCAGAGCTCTTTGAGAACTCTCATCGACTATCCAAGCAATACTGCGGTTTCCCATTTTCAGCTCCGAATGGACTGGAACTATTTTCTCATTTGAAGCAATCTTGATCAAATCAGGTTGTCCTGCCTATTGTACTTTGTCTAACACACTGGGTGTTATTATATTATGATCATTTATTTTAACACTATTTTTTTACCAACACCATTCAAATAGGCTTGTGCATCCAATGTAGGTTCCACGGCATGAGTGCTTTGCTGTTTGCTTTTGTCTTTAGAACTAGAAGCACCCAACGAATTCTTCTGGATAACACTTAGATTGTGGGAGTTCTCCATAACCTCTTTCCCTTTCTCCTTATTTTTCCTAGCAGGCTGAGATTGTGAATCTTCAATAATTATTGATTCTAACACTCCAAATCGGGATCCCTTCAATTGTTTCGCACTCTCATCTGAAGTCTTTTCCGAGTTTGTTGGCTTCTTGTTCGAGATTACTTTCTTTTTCCTATTTACAGCCTGCATCCATGGACCATATGGTTCAATAGGAACTGGAAAGTCCTCCTTAGTTTTGCATTTATCCTCACTTTCATGGTCCTTAGCAATCCCACATGATTCCTTTGCATGGCCATATTTACCACATTTATAACAAATGGTTGGTAATCCTTCATACTCCACGTTTTGGAACCGGTCATCGATCAAAATTCCTAGAATCAGTGCATTCTCCAGGTTCACGACAATAGCTAGCCTAGCAAATCGTCCACGTTTACCATCCTTGGTATTATAGTCAACTTTTACCACTCTCCCCAGGACACTAAACAAACTCCTCGTATAATAGCTGTAGGGTAATCCCGGCAATCGAACCCTAACCAAAATCGTCTTCAGATATTCTTCAGCAGTAGAAAAAATCCGTTGACCATGGTTGAACCGTTAGATGATTACCGTAGTCCATCCAGGGGCCTCTAGTCAAAACTCGAATATAATCCTCCATTGTGAATCTGACGAGGAAGTATTCATTATCCAAGTCCACCAACTTCATCTCTCTAGCGGGTTTCCAAAGCACCTGAATTTGTGTCAATAACACTCTATAGCCTATCGACTTTCCCAGTAGTCACACTATCACCGACTTCGACAATTTTTCATCAATGGTTTGATGTACCCTCTCAGAGAAACGAATCCCCGGAATAGATCCTTCCTTTCCGACCTGCACATCTCCCTCAATAAGTTCCACATCCAAGTCACTAATGAGCGTCTACTTCTGTTCTGTCCCACTTTGTCCGATCACCGTATCTCTGAAAGTAGGTTTGGCTTGCTCTTTTTCTTTGGCCGAAAAACTCCATATTCATAGTTTCTTTTAGGATAGGACTTACATCGCCAAGGTTAGACCCACAATTTGTTGCCTTCTGCATCTCTTCATCCACATTCAGACTATAGTTTTCAGATTGCCTTGGTAATGATAACTGTTGCCCG